CTCTCGCGTGCCGACCGCGGGCTTGTACAGTCGCCCCTCTATTACCCACCACAAAGCAACAAGTCAATCCGTCTCGATCCGTTACCCACACCTCGGGCGGCACCCCTGGAGATAGCAAGCCTGGGATCCTTGACCTTGCAGCTGGACGTGGGTATTCCCATCTCACAGGCCCTCCTTGAGGATATCTCGGCGTGGTTGGTCCTCAACTCCCCGCGTGATATTACCAGAGTCGAAATCACTGAGATGATTGACCGTGCGACCAAGCTGTGCGACTTCGTGGCAAATACCGACGTCGAAACAACGGACTCGGCGATACGCATGGCTAAACTTTCAGATATTTCCAAGCAAGAAGTGAGAGCCGCCTTGAGCGATTTCAACACCAATGTCGCACTGTCGGCGAAAGTAGCGGCATCCAAGGTCGATACCTCTACCAAAACTATGGTCGTCCAAGGCTTCTTGGACGCTTTCAAAACACGAGTGTCGACTCTGCAGAGAGTGGTGGCACGGAATGTCCTGGGATTACCAGAACTCTTCGATGAAGGCGTACTGCAAAAAGAAGCCAGGGTTAACAGAGCGGATAGTCTTGGGATATCAGAAGCACTAGACGTGCGTCTAGTGGCGTGCATGGAGGACACCCCCAATGCAATCCCCATCAAAACAATTCCAGGGGGGAACCTGACCCAAATAGACGGTGCTGCCAACACGCTATTCGCGGGCAGGCTCGCTGAAGTGGGCACCGTACTCGTGGAGTACAAGCACTTCGACTCGCAAGATTCTAGTGCGATTGACATCAACAAGAATAGAATTAAGCGGCTCGTTGCTGCTCTTTAAAAGGCTCGAAGCGAGTCTTTCAGCACACCCGACTGCTATGGTTATTTCCCAGATGACCTTCGCGGCCGCGTCGGCCTCGTCTTTCGCCACACACACAACGCAGATCAGGGTGCTGTATCTCTATACCGAGCCCTGCAGCCTCAAATAAGCCGCAAAGCTCGTATTCAGAAACCGACGCTGGGGGAGAGATATCTCCTTGCACTTACCATAGGGAGGGCGCTCTTGCAGTGGCATCTGGTAGGCTGGGTCCATCAAGGGATCGCTAGCTACAACGTCATCTTCTTCGAGGCCGAGCCGGGCGTGCCGGAATATGCAAGGCCATGCCTTCTTGGATTTGAGTATTCCAGAGAGTATGACGCTACCTCACTTCAGAGGCAGGCACACATGGGGACGATGGCAGACCAGTACAGGCATCCGGACCGACAAGGAGAGCGGCCGCCAAGGTCGCAAACCAAGCTCCACGACATCTATTCCTTTGGCCTGCTTCTCGTGGAGATTGGCCTCTGGCGACCGCTGGACCAGACTTTCAAGGAGTTGCTCGAACTGCGCGGGACGAAGGAGCTGCGGGCCGCTATTCTGAAGAAAGGCCAGGGGCTTCTGAGCCATTCGATGGGTCTTGCCTATGAAACAATAGCTCTTCTCTGTCTCTCCGGAAATTTTGGAATTACGTTGGACGACAAGCAGGAGACGGTTCTGGCACGCATGTTTGAGACGCAGGTATTAGCTACGCTTGAGGTCGCTACGAAGGCAGGATTGGATACCATTGCTACCTAGGTGTGGAACAAGATAAAATAAGATAGCCAAAGTTCAGATTCATCGATATAGAAATACAATTACAGAAGCATATCCTTCTGCACCAATAACTCATCCCAGTGACAAAGAGCGTTCTTCCACTTGGCCACCACCGTTGGCCGGACTTCCATCTTCATAGCACAGAGTATACGTCTTCAGCAAAGGAATGGTTTCAACAACAAAAGGGCCTTGAAGTTGACGCCCAACCTGGAGGTATACTCTGTCGCCAACGCGGAATTTACTTTTCTGCCAAGTAATATCAGATGAATGCACGAAACGTGCCCGGAGCTTGGTGTCGTCTCACCGAACGGGCAACCTCGATCCGAGGCCTTCCACCTGCCACACTGTCGCCTTCATCGGCCCGAGGAGCGCCAGCTATGCTAGTAAAGAATTGTTAGCCAGTTCCTTGATAGGAAAGGAAAGCCCCTCTCACTCCTTGGCTTCGGGCATATCGGGTCTATATGGAGGACCTGTGGTGGGTTACTGGTGTGAAGAGGAACATGCAGAAAGGGCGAGGTTGCCTTGGTGAGAGCTAGTGCTGCTTTCACGGACGTAAGGTCAGTCAGGCCATATATCTCTATAAAGGCAATGTGCATTTTTGAAGGAGACTTGGTCCCGCCGAGATGGTGGATGGCGGGTACCCAATTATCTGGGTTTTGAAGACCTTATTACTATTGATTCGTGCAGAATGACACACCGGTCTGGTATTTGACGCGAGTTCAAGTGAGTACAAGTCGTAGGGACTGGTGGTGATATTTGTCATCAAAGAGATTCCCTTATCCCTGCGCACTTCAGGGGCAGGGAAAGACCGAGGTAATAATATCGACTACGGGTACTGATGCTACCAACTACTGACATCGCGCAGCACAGCACTGCTAGGGTGATAGACATCGTGTCCCTCCGTGATTGTCTCATATACTTTGGCCTCGAGTATTTCTGCCCTAGGTTTCTTGTAAGATGGTCAGAACTCCAGGGTAACATTCGTGAAGCACTTCATCAACTTGCATCATAACGCTCCCATTCTATTGGCCAGGATGAATGAGGCAACCAAGGCGGCCGGAGAAGCCGCCACCGCCATCCCACCCCCATGCCCGCGGCGCAGATAATCCATGTCCATAGATACTTGCCGAGGTCCTCAACGGGCAGGAGTACGGGCAAATCCATCCCTCGTCGGAAGAAAGCTGGTGCGCGGATAACCGGATTGGTCGTAATATATGTAGTTGAATAAGAATAGCTATAACGTATCAATTGTTTTTGTCCATGAAAAGTATCCGTGCACAAAAAAGATCCTCGCTCGGTACCTACGCAGTATCCTGAGCAATTTGCCAATTTTTTGCTTACGAGGTATTGGGTCTATTCACACAACATGCGTGGCTTCGTGGCGTCAAAGGAGTCAATCAATAGCCTTATGTTCCGCCATCCGACATACATATAGCTCTGGCCTTAGGCGACGACAGCTACCGCAAACCTCACACATCCGATACTGCTACCTCTAGAGTTAAACACCACGCTGAGCAGTCTTTTTCTTCCAAAAAGCATGATACCACTCAATGTTGCACGACAATAACTGATTCGTTGCAGCATGGCGACTGATCCTGCCCAGTCCCTGCGCACCCCGCAGGCCGGGACTTTGTAATGCCGTCCTACACAGCCTCATCTCTGAGCAAGTTAGCCAATAAGGTGCCTCATAGGACGCCTCACCCTCACAGGTCTCTACGGTATGCAGCCGCATATGGCCGAACCTTTCCCAGAACTCTTCTGCGGCCGCCAAGGCAGAAGAGAAACTGAGCTTTCTATATTCTCACTACGCTTGACTACCAGCGATATCCCTACTATGCACCAGGCCATACCGGAGACAACAAGAATTTAATTATAACCCAGAGGAGCCGTCATATCCCAGTAACACCATGTCCGTTACATCACCTTCGGGCTCCATCTCTCAGGATGAGGAAGAAACTAAAGAAGAGCAGGGTGAGTCAAGAAGAGAGTTTCAACAACAGGTTGAGACAGCCATCGTGCAGTCGAGGTGAATAGCGCGAAAACGGGAAATGAAACGCTAATAGGCTAGCAGTCGAGGACTTTCCGGCTGGATACCCGAGATTCGCGGCTCTAGTCAGCTCACACCGGTCCTTCCACGTCTTCCGCCGTTTCATGAGACTCAGGGCAAGACTCCTCTTGCAGAAACAAGACAGACTGTCACTATTAGAGAGCCAGCTAGACGAGATCGACCGCAACGAGCCTCGCCCTCTATTCCTTGGTAACATCCGGAGAGACAGCAATCGCGCAAGAGAGGATCTGCTGAACCAGATAAATGTTGCAATCTCGGACTATGGTGAGAAAACCTCACGCCCCTTGGCGAGGAATGCACAGCCGGCTCATGTTAGCCACAAAATCTAGATTCGTTTCTCGACAGCTGCGAAGGAATGATGGCTCGCCCGTTGGCCAAGAGTCGAGACGTGACGAGTCTAAGAAACTGGGTCGAAAATACTTCCTCCTTGGCTAGAGACGAGACTACCTATCTCTCGGAAAAGGACCTTTTTGGCTTGGGAGTGGCCGGCATGGACAAAACTGACCACACATTGCAAGATTCGTTGGAAGGCGCCCTGATATGGTGCAAGCGCGTCTCGAAGTTAGTAAGTTGTGGAATAAATCTGATGGATGCAGCGAGATCTGGCCAACAAGCTAACGAGCTCACGTTTAGGGGCAACCCCAAATTGTCTCGAGAGATCCGACCGTACACTTCTTCTCCCCAAGACTCCTCAAGGCACTCTCGCGCTTTCTTCTCGGCCTCATCCTCCTTGTTATCCTCCTCGCCCCAGTGACACTACTAATAATTTTAGAGAGCTTGGAGGCACGGGTATTTGTCGTACTGATTTTCTGTGTCCTGTTCGTGGCGATACTCATGACTCTGGTCAAAATAAGAACTGGAGAGACGTTTGTGGCTGGTGCAGCGTAAGATCCCATATCAGCCTAGCTCATGGACGAAATAACTAGAAGCTAACCGTGCAGATAGGTATGCTGCTGTTTTAGTAGTGTTTCTCGTAGGGAACGGCTCCGTGTCAGTAACTTAGCAGTTATGACTCGGCCGATAAGCTCGACGACAATACTACGACAACTACAATGCCCAATAGAAACTGTGACAGTTTAAGGGATCAATATCTTATAGGCATGATTTTAGTAGAGCGCAAACGGCATAGACAGGTGGTTAAATGCCTGTGAAGAGCTAGGTAATAACAGTCTTGGTATTTGCGACCGGTAACCTAGCGAAAATAAGAACAAAAAAATCTCGCCTCGTCATGAGATGGAGAGATAAGAGCAAAAAGAGCGAAAAAAAAAAATCGAACTTCCACATGTGTTGAACCAAGGGAATATTTTCTTGCCTCCACTGGGGATTGAACCCAGGACCTTCGCATGAGCACTGCATTAAATACGAGTGCGACGCACTACCACTGTGCTACAGAGGCCGGTTGGTGACGAGTCAGAAAAAACTTTTCATTATAAATTCGATAACGGGCGGGGAAACATTTCTTCCGATCAAGAGGCGTCAAAATGGATCGGGTTATGTAAAAGATAAGAAACTCGCCGTCTGATTAGCCGGCTGGATTCTATCCGTTGGCAAGAAATGCGACACTACTCCAAAAATCGACAAGCAATTGGTTAATGGCTGATGGGTCCTCATTCGAGCGGGGACTAGCGAGGGTTTGCCAAGCTAACCTATAGCTGTAAAGATGTGGATATAGGCCATTACAGTTGATTATCTCGCCAATACTTGCCTGCACTTAGAATGGAGTCGACAAGGATAATTGCTAGGGGAGGAACTCCCCTAGAAGCCCTCTGGACAGAGATCTAAGTCTAGCTGCAGCGCTCATTCGCATGCAGCCATGAGGTTGAGTGGTGTTGAATGCTTCCTCAGTACTTTACGCTGAACCCTTTTGGGCGTACATGTCTAGATATACAGAAGGAATATTGATATATTATAGTAATTTTACGATAACTAATCTGTCTCGTATGAGGTACTCCTATACGGAAGAAAATGCGTAGCGAAACTGTCTTCTCTGTCCCCCTCCTGCGAGGAATCGGCAAACAATAGACCTATGGGTCTTGGAGTTAGTGAGTTACACACGTGATCCAAGTCGATCGGCTTGATGTCCTCATGATCAGCACGATTTCTGGATTGGCTCGGTCTTGGGTTGCATGGCCCTGTAGCCCTTCGCTATCGGACCCAATAATGATAGCAGTGTCCCCGCACGCGGCCCATCAGTCCGAGAATACCTGTTATAGTGCGCACGGTGTGATAGCAAGGGTGATAACACCCTGGGAAGAGATCCGCGGCCCGGCCTTTCAGATGTCGTCGGAAAGGGGTGCGATAAGCCGCTGTTGCCCTCAAAACTTAAGGGCAGCTCTTTATTATTATGGGAAAGAAAGATAACTTTCCCATTCGCAGTCCCTATATGCGCCGGCACCCGCCGTAGTCTTTGACAGAAGCGCCAATCTAGCCCGCCATGTCCGATCATTCCGAGAAGAAGGACGCAAGTAATCAGCTGGACATAGAAGCCAGGTCTGCGTACCCAGATCATGTGGCCGAGGAAGATGGGGACGTTAAACTGGTCGACGTGAAGGGCGCCGACGAGGCCGCCCCATATGCTACTGGCCACGGCATCCAGCTCGACGAGGAAACGAGCAAGAGGCTTCTGCGCAAGATTGATTGGAACATGATGCCTCTCATGTGTATCCTCTACATGTTGCAGTACCTTGATAAAGTTCTTCTCAGCTACAGCGCTGTGATGGGTATCCTGAAGGATACCGGCAGTACGTCGAAGTCTACCAACCTAATGCACGCCATGACCATTGCTAACCCCAGGAATTAGTGAACACTGCGCAATACTCCTGGTATTTTTCGTATTCCGTTCCTACCTGATTATAGTTCTTGCAAAACTGATAGTCACAGGGCCGGGTCGATCTTCTACATCGGGTATTTGGCTTTTGAGTACCCTCATAACCGCTTGATGCAGCGTCTTCCGATTGCTAAATACGCAAGTCAATCCTATCTTATGTTTGAATGGACATGGGCTGAGTTTTCTAGATGTCGGTTATGGTGATGGCGTGGGGAGTCGTGCTCTGTTTGACTGCCCTTGTTCACAACGTCGCTGGCGTCATGGTAACGCGATTCTTGCTTGGAGCCGGCGAAGGCGCCATCACGGCAGGCAAGTCCTTATCAAATCTGCTGTCATTGTAGGCTGCTACTTACAATTGGCATATCAGGATTTGTGCTCATCACTTCGCAATGGTATACGGCTTCTGAGCAGGTTTTCCGAAGTGGTATCTGGTTCAGTTTCAATGGCAGTAAGTTCCTGCCCCATCACTGGCTCGCGAGCGCATCCTAACGCCTCCAAGCGGCACAGATAGTTGGGGGCGCCATCGCCTATGGAGTGTCACGCGGCCTCAAGACCCATCCGATTGCCATTGCCTCCTGGAAATTCCTGTTCATCATCATCGGAGCTGTCACCGCTCTATATGGAATCATTATGTGGCTGTTCTTGGCCGACTCGCCTATCAAAGCCAAGTGGTTGAGCGAGGAGGAAAAACGCATGGCCATCGAACGGATCCGTCACAACCAACAGGGCATCGGTAGTAGGGTTTTTAAGTGGTATCAAGTTCGAGAGGTCCTCACTGATGTTCGAGTAAGTCTAATTGGGGCCGTATCCGAGAAATCCCTGGCTCTAACTTACGATACCAGACTTGGCTCAATGCGTTCTGCATTATCACGATCAACATCCCGAATGGAGGCCTCACCGTTTTCTTGTCAGTTAAAATGGTGCCAACTCGCAAAGAATAGCAGAATGCTCACACAGATATAGTACCCTGATGATTACGAGCTATGGATTCGACTCCGAAACGTCATTTCTATTGTCCATGCCGGCTGGCTTTACGGAGATTATCACCATGCTACTTATTCCTTACCTTGCCATGAGATACGGAAATCGAACCCTGTGGGCTGCTCTATCCATGATTATCGGCTTGTTGGGCATTGCCTTGATGGCTGGATTGGGAAGGGAGAATCCCACAGGTGGTAGAATCGGACAGCTCGTTGGCTATTATCTGCAAATCGCGGCGCCGTCTACGGCCCTACTGATCGCGTTGAGCACGGTTGGCACTAACACCGGTATGCATTCGCCCCCTCTCAACCTGCATCGACGCCAAGTATGCTAACTGTTTCGAAGCTGGTTACACGAAAAAGACAACTGCGAATGCTGTCCAGCTGATTGCTTATTGCGTTGGTGAGTCGCCGAAATGGCAAATCCCGTGTGATAGACCTTTTGGCTCACCGATCTAGGTTTTCTTATTGGACCTCAGACATTCCGAGACGGTCCATACTACTACAACGCCAAATACGTCATCATTGTTATGTGGTTCCTATCGCTATGCTGCTTCATCGTCATGTATTTTCTGAACCGCTATGAGAATAGACGGCGAGACAAGCTCTGGGAAGAGGCAGGTTGTCCGCCGCAACCGGTCGGCCAGGAGTTTATGGACTTGACGGACAAGGAAAATCCTTACTTTAGATATGCCTTATGATTTAGCTATCTACGGGTAGGGTTTGTGAAGGCTCCGTGCTTCTACGAACTTCCAGTTATAGACTAGTTATAACTAAAAATCCGTTCCTGTTTAGGTACTGCTGTCTTCAACTAGTGTCATCCACAAGAGGAAGGGGTTCTAGACTGCTCATTCACGTGGCCACTGTGATTACATCCTCTACGTAGCTCGGTTTTAAACTGAGCGCTCGAGTATCGCCATGACCCAATATATCTTGGCATGAAAACTAAGCCTTCAAATCTCCGGATGCTGATGCTTGCGGCTAGTTAAATTCCATCGTGCTTGCATTCGCCCTCGACAGCGCAAAGCATGTTTCGAGGGAACTCTCATCAACCCCACCAGAGTTTCGCGGTTCCAGCCTTATCTTGTAAGGTCTAGGATGAGCCGTCTGTTGAGTCGTGTCTTCATTGTAATTGACGTAGTCTGTGTCTAAAAGAGACCCGTCTGCTGCCGGGAGAATTCTAAAGAGCAGGATCAGACGGGCCACCGTGATGTAGATAATCCGATTCGAGATAGCGATCGCAGGGCATGCGCGAGAGCCCGCACCGAACGAGAAATGGTAAGGGGAACCAATCGGGTGCTTCTCATCCAGCCAGCGATCCGGACGGAAGGTATCCGCATCTTCTCCATAATACGACTTGTCTGTGAGTGCCGTCACGAATTAGCTCTCTCTGTTTAAACCTGTAGTGCTCCTCTATCGAGGCGTCTCGGCGGGCCTCCATCAGACAGGACAATAGTAGGTCATACCGTGGTTGATAGCCTGTGCGTTCATGTAAATGGTAATCCCCTTAGGGATCAGAATGCCATTCCATTCGAACTCTTTGATAGTTGACCGGGGTGGCAGCAGTGGTATGGCAGCGAAGTGACGGAGCATTTCTTTGTACAAGGCAACGTTAACCAAGCTCTTTTCTTCTGTGAGGACCATTTCCCAAGCCGTGGAAATATTTCCATAAACTGTGAGAAGCTCATCCCAGATTCTATCCTGAAGCAGTTGACCTTCGGGAGATGCAAGCCAGCCTAGGCCAGCTAACATGGTGGTCGACACAGTCTCGAAGCCGCCAGAGACGAGCGAGACGTTGATGGACTTAATATCGGCTATGGTAAACCATCAATCTGCGTTAGTATTGTAAGAGTATGGGCGAGAATAGAAGAATACAGAGGTTCGCTGCATTACCTTGGTTCAGGCTGCCGGACTCGGTCAGCATAGATCCCGTAATACAGGGGCGGTAATGGTCCTCCTCCACCACAGCTTGTACTCGGTTTAGCATATTCTGCAACCAAATATCACGTTTTTCCCGTGTTTCGACTGCGAGCTTCTGGCGTTCGTTGTTCGGAAAATATCGAAGGAGTGGCACATAATCTTGAGGGTTGCTGTTAGAGGATCGAAAGCTGCATGTCCCACCATCAGCATACAAGATCGCTTCTGACGTCGTTCAATACTCAAGAGACATACGTTGAAACTGTAGTTGCAATATCAAGCATGTTCAAGAGATCCGGGTCTCCGACATCGTCAAAACGTGCACCATAGCAGATCATGAGAGTGATGTTGAAGGCCAAACGCTGGCAATAGAGACGAGGGTTGACTTCGCCAAGCTTGTCCTTCTTTGTGGAGCTGTACATGTCTGCAATCATAGCAAACGATTCCACATCCAGCATCGGTGCAGAGTTTCTCAGTGCCGGCCTGGTCAAGTACGTCGACACCGCTACACGCCTTCGCTTAGTTGACTCGTCCCATGGAGATGTCCCAATCGTTCCGCCTGAATAGAGGTGAGTAATTGATACCAAATTTTGAAAATTATAGATGACAGACCTTGAGATGTGCTCACAACTTTGTGGAATGTATAGAACAGGGGTCTGTCGATGGTTGCTG